AGCATGAGCAACAGTGCAAGAGAATCATGTCATGCTTTTTGTAGTTATTTAGCAAATCGATTCATAACTGCACACCAAAATCACGTATAATATTCAATCACCAGCCACTCTGTTAAGTACACCTATTCAACTGCTCATGAATGCAAATATCTTATCAGCCAATCATATGGCAGCAAATCAATGCATTTAGGCACATAGACATCGCCATCACAACCTGCTAAAGTTCAAACTGAGAATCAGAATTGGGAGGAAAGAGGTGATTTAGGTGACTGAATGTGCAGAAAAATAACATTTACTTATTGCTAAAATACAAAATTCATATATTTATTCTTTCATTTTATTACACAAGTTTAAGAGTGCTTGAGGTTTGCATGTGAGCTAAACTGCTGGGTGTTGTAGCAAACTTTCAACCAGAAGATGTCACTAAAAATATACAACATCTATTAAAAGACAGTTTAAAGTTTAGCTGCTCAGGATCAAATTTAAAATTTCTGCTGCTTTAGTTAAACTTAACTGTGACAAAGACATCATTTTATTTTATTTAATACACATTACAAATAATCTACATCTCTTGTTTTTGTTGTGCTGACTACTTTTTTCCATAGGAAAGACTCGGTCACATGATAATTTTTAAACAGTGAGATGATGCTGCAGATTCAGTTAATTTCAGTGAATTAAATTACTGAGGTGAAGTAAATCTCTGCAGTTTTTTCCAGTGATACTGACAGACCAAACAGTTCATGACAAAATAAATTACACATATCTTTAAATCTATCTCGTTCATACTATTTTTTCATGAGCACTGTTTGTTCATAATACAAGACTCCACAGAAAAGTCAGAAAAATGCATTTGATCTCAGTCATTATGCTGCTGCTGCACCAGTGTTAAAAAAGGATCAAGTTAAATCGACTAATGTTTTTCTTTTTTCTTTTTTACTTTTTAAAAATAATTTCTTTTGTCAGACTTCATAACTCCCCAAATTTCCCCCCGTATTTGTATTCTTTTTTGTAAAATTTGTACTACTAAATAAAACAAAACAAAAACGAAATAATTAAATCAATTAAAGACTGTGCAATCTAGACAGCTACTTTAATGTAGCTTATATAATTATATAATTTAATTCCTCAGATGTAACCACAGACAAGTTGTAATCTTGTTGTTATTTCATCATTTTAACAGTCAGTAAATATGGATGAAATGAGGCCAAACCTGACTGCAGGCTCGCTTGTGGTCACTGGACAGTTGTAAACAAATCCCTGCAGCTCAGTGGTTCCTCTCCAGTATCACATTTTGTCTTATCTACAGTTGACATAAACTAAATCATGAAAACACAACATACTGATATTTACTGAAGCTTTTCACTAGAAAATGACAGAAAAACAACAAAACTTCTTCTTTAAGAGGAACACGTTTGTAAGAAATAGTTTAGAACAGTTGATGAAGCATTTCTGAGTGAATGAAACAGAAAACAGTTGGTGTTTCTCTAACAGGAGGAGCTTCTTCATACTAAACAGAACACAAAGACACTGATGCATTAGGATTGAAACCAAATCCAGGATAAATAGGTTCAGTGAATGTGGTGTTAAAGGTGTGGAGGTGAATCAGAGTGTCAGAGGAGACTCTGTAGAAGGACAGAACGCCAGCAGGACAGTCCACGTACACGGCTACTCTGTTAGAGGCAGAAGAGGTGGAGGAGGAGTAGAAGGAAGACATGCTTCTGTTATTGTGCCACACAGAACGAGGGCGACCATCGCTATAGCATTCCAGTCTCCAGGACTGATCGTTCCTTCCAAACACGCAGTCTTTACTGTCGCCTTTCCTTTCAATTCCTCTGTAACTCACTGATATATCGATTCCTCCACTCCACTCGACCTCCCAGTAACAGCGACCAGTCAGACCATCTGTACACAGCAGCTGATACCAGTAATCAAATCTGTCTGGATGATCAGGATATGACTGAACCTCCTTCACCTGTGTCACCTTCCTGTTGTTGTCGGACAGTTTGAGGTATTTGTTTATTGTGTTTGTGTCGATTGTGAGTTGACAGGAATCTGGTGGAGACAACAAACACAACAATGTTGTCGTTTTGATGACATCAGAGATGTGACTGAGTGATGCAACAGTTTGAAAATAGTTAAAACTTACACTTCCTCAGACCGTCTGGTCGCAACCATCGGACTCCAGCCGGCTCCACCCTGAGAGGAGGAGAGGGGTCAGATCGGCGTCTTTCAGCATGCACACACAGTCCAACTTTTTCACAAAGACACTTTAATGGATTTTCAGTTCTTTGAGGCGGCAGTTGGATTGATTTTCATATCAGTAAATCCATAACATCAAACCTTGGTTCAACAAATTTGCTGAGCACTGTATTGATAATATGATAATAAGCGAAGCGAATCAAGATCCTTTTGCTACCCTGACTCATTACTTTTATTGAGGTGCTGCTTAAGTCAGCACTGA